TCATCAGAGTATGAAGATTTCTGTCTTCTGGGTTGTTGCGCTGTGTAGTCTGGTCGATGTTAACCAACGTGTCAGAGGTCGTACTGCCTCCGTCATCAGGGCGATGAAGATTTCTGTCTTCTGGGTTGTTGCGCTGTGTAGTCTGGTCGATGTTAACCAACGTTTCAGAGGTCATACTGCCTCCGTCATCAGGGCGATGAATTCATCGCAATAACCCAGAAGACGGATATCTTCAAAGATGCTGTTACACGAATAGCGAATTCGATTTACCTTCGGTGGGTCGACTGTTTTAGTGCGTGTCCCTCTCTATACTTTTGAAACGCCTTGTAGCAGTGCACAGCGTGGTCAGATGACTGCTGTGTGTCTTCTGTAGCCACGAGTGTGTCTGGAAGCAATACAAACAATTGCGTAATGCACTCAAGGACAAGCCTAGTAACAGCATTAGTTTGTTCTTTGGAACGTTTAGTTTGCTTCGTAGTAACAAAGAAACCTTGGATCCGGTTGAGTATCTCAGAACAGCTTCAGGGCATTGTTTTCTCGACGATTAAATTAAGCGTTATAAATCGTACTTTTCCTGGTGCCGTATTCGGGGCGAATTGTGCCTTTCGCCCGCGTCGCCACTAGCTTGCGGTTAGAAGGAAAACAGACGCACATACTATACAAACTAAAAACATTACGTACACAGGATCTGAGACTGAGGTACAAGGTATTACTTCTGGGAAATAATGTTTATAGTACGGAGAGTACATGCTTTCTTATCTGCTACCCCTCCCACTCTTATAATCCTCCTACTTTTATGAATCTCGGACCCAAAGTGAAGCCTGAAAAGGTAAATATTTGTCTGATCATTTTCCTATTCAGAATGGTCTGAAACAAGGGGATGCTTTGTCACAGTTTCTTTTTAATTTTGCGAAAGAAAACAGACAATTGGAACTGAACGAGACACTATTTAACGCTTGAATGATTAGCTCCTCAAGAAGGTCCCTTGTTCTTTTGAATTAGAATAACAAACGCGAAATAATGACACTTGGCCATCGATATTTTCAGCTGCAAGGGAGGGTCGTTCTTTTGTGGGAAACTTCGAGACGATGAAATGGTTACTGTCGTCTTGGGCCACCGGGGAAATGAATCATAAATGTAATTTTGTTTCGCGTGAGTTTCACCTTTCACTTCCATAACATACCTATCATTTTACGCCGAGTAACACACACGATATATATATAAAGCGTCTTGAAACCAGTGTTAGTGTACACCAAGAACTGGAGCGTATCAAAATGCAATGCTTTGTGACGTCACCGGACTCCTGCAGCTGCACGTAACATTCTTTATGTATGTCCCACACCTTGTGGTTCGCATAGTTACTCTGAAATTCCCACTACCTTGGATGTTGGATCTTCGGGGTTGTGACGCCGTGTGGACAGAAAGGGCAGATACCAACGTTTAGGAGGAGCATGCTGTCTCCATCTTTCGGGTTGAAAATGGAGCCAGTATATTTCGCCGAAATGTCATCAGAGCTCAAGATGGAGACTGTCTATCTGCAAGTCCACGCGGTTTTACAACCGATGACCAACATCGACGTCTTCACCGTTGTGAGAACCTCAAATCCAAAAAACCCTCATTTGCCCACGTGTGTCCGGGTGCTGAACTAATCCTGTGCCGACTTGTGCCAGGTGCGAGACATGACTCCTGAGCGGTGTCGTGGGTTTGTCGTTCACCCACCGACCGCCTTCTACCCGATTCCGTGGAGGCAGTGGAAGCTGTACTTCGACGAATCAGCAAGTGCAAAAACGATGGCCCGGTTGAAGAACAGCATTGCCATCCACGTTTGGAATAAATTCAGCGCCACCAAGAACGTCACCGTTGGTTCCAGGCAGCCATATGGACTCATTGCACAAGAATTCTGCCCCAAAGTGTACTCCCATTGTGGACCAATTTTTTGAGACAAGTCAGCAGTTCGGTCTGCTGTGCAATTTTTCATCGCGCGTGCGCATGCTATGGGAAATCAATGGTGAAGAGTACGAGGGGGTGGGTTGATCTTACAGCGCATGCGCACTTCGCCGTTTCCCCATTCCAAAGACGTACTCAAGTAATGCAGTACATTGTGAAAACGAAGAGTGTGTCTGCGGGGATTGGGGGTCGACGCATGCGCTATGGAAGTGTCTAGCGTAGCCGTTCATCGTAACCCCACTCCCAGCGGACTACTTGAGGTGTACTGACAGTGCTTATTTGTTCCTGTCGAACCAGGTACATTGTTGTTATAATGGAAACAGACTCCGTATCTTATGAGAAAAGACATTTCTGTAAAAAAAATTTTTTTACCTCATTTGTATTATTGTTACGAAAACAGGAAATTTCGTTGCAAACATGCCATTTCGCTTCCAGTTCTTATCGGAGTTCAATAATAATCGTGCCTACATGAGAGATTCTTGTTTGCTCATTGTATTGTACTTCTGACATTACTGAAGCTCCTTACGCATTTGTTCCAGGTACATTTGATTGATTTAACTGTTAGGTTGGTAGAAGAATGGAATAATGATGATAAAACCAAAACAAACATTCCTGTACATTAGTTGGGATTCATACTCGGAACAAAAGAATGTTATTCTGTGTCTTGGACTACAGCAATGATTTATGAACTTTCTGGATAATCACGACACTTACAAAGGAAGGCAAGAACGAATTTCGTTATTTATATTTAATTATAATGACACAACGAACATGTAAATAGATTATTACTGTTATAAGAAATTATTCTTGTTTTGAGAAATATAGAATACAAATGTGATACAAAGGTTTATTTTGTAAATTTTCACTGATTTGACGATGCTGAATGTTGTAGGGTTCGAGAAACAGAATAATAAATTTTAATCCAAATTTGACACCATTGAGAAGAACTGTAATCCAGTTTGTGTTGTTTTGTAAACACTCCAGGGCACCCATAATTGTATAAAATTATTTGCAAGTTGGAAGTAAAATGGCATGATATACCGAGTTTGAAAGTTTCGCTTCTTGAGAAGTAAGAATGTTATTCTGGTGAAACATTGATCTCAGAAAAGGAAAATATTTGAAATTAGTAATTATAGTTTTAACAGAATGGAAACCAATTTTGCCTGGTGTGAATTGATATTAGCTAGTCATTAATAATTAATATGTATCTCTTCCTTCACTGGACATTCAAAAACAAGAAAAGTGAATGTGCAAAACTTTGGATATTTTTGAGCCGGTTCTTTAAAAGAGCTTGAATATTTGAGCCGGTTCTTTAAAAGAGCTTGAATATTTGAGCCGGTTCTTTAAAAGAGCTTGAATATTTGAGCCGGTTCTTTAAAAGAGCTTGAATATTTGAGCCGGTTCTTTAAAAGAGCTTGAATATTTGAGCCGGTTCTTTAAAAGAGCTTGAATATTTGAGCCGGTTCTTTAAAAGAACTTGAATATTTTAGCCGGTTCTTTAAAAGAGCTTGAATATTTGAGCCGGTTCTTTAAAAGAGGTTGCATTTTTGAGCCGGTTCTTCAAAGGAGCTGGTGTGAATAGGAAGAACTGTGCTTCTTGTCATGGTGTTCACGTGGTACCACAGATGCTTCATATTGACAGCAGAAAGAGCACTTTAACATTGCATGTAGTATGTCACGGTGTTATGTTCCAAATCAAGATTCGTACGTAAATAAGTAATTAATTAATTGTAACCCAAAGGTTGAGTGCCATGTTTACAAGAACCCACCACTGGATTCTACCCAGAGCTAGATTTATTCAAACACTAGCCTCAATATCGGTCTTAATATTATGCTTCCGTTTATATCTAGATCTTCCAAGTGGTCACTTGCTTTCAGGTTTTTTTTCTACGAATTTTCATCTGTGCCATGCATGCTACATGTGTTGTTCCTCCCTCCTTACTTAATTTGACCATCCTAATTATTGGTGACTTGCTCATATTATGGATTATTTATATATAATTTAATTTTCAAATTGTTTCTTTAATGATTGATTGTCACGAGCTTGTTCTCGTCATGTAGACCAATTTTTTTCATGGAATGTTTTGTTTGGGAGTGTCTAAGAAAGAGTGAAGTGAAAACACGTAATCAGGAAAGATATTTTCACGTGTTATAATATCGCGACCATTTTTTTTTTTAAGGACTGTGGTGTTTGCTTTAACACATTCACTGCCATTATTTCCGGTGTGGATTTAAATACCTTGTGCTAAGCGTTTATCGACGCTGGGATGTTTTTAACATGGATAGAAGAAAAAAAACCAGATGTAAATGCACGCAATTTTCAGGTTACCATTTAATATTGATTTAGGTTGTAATGTGTTCACTTTCATACGAACATTTAATCTTACGACACTTTGCATCAGTCATCTTTATACAAAGGAATGGTAAGTTGTAATGCCGGAGGATTTCGCTTATAAATACGTAAATTGAAACGTCAAAACTTCCTTCATCGTCTGTGAACATGAGGTAAGTCTATCCGTACATCAGCACCAAAATTTTGATGGACCCGCGTGGCACTGGCGGCGTGAGGTAAGGAGAATGACGTTGGACGACGCGTTCGGAAGTGAATGTGTTAATCTTGCGGTATGGAACTCACACGAGTTGATCTTTTTTGACTGCCAATTTATTAGTGAGAGTTTGTTCTTGAAAAAGGATATGTCAAAATGTGTTTTATCTGTGATCTCCTTTCATCGCATTCCTTTAACTAGTTCCAAGAACTACTCTTTGTATACGTAATAAAGGCTTTATTGGGTGTTCATCTAAAAGGTGCTAGAAGAGTACATTGTTAATATATGTTGTATTTTGAAAGATATGTTACTATGGGGGTGAATAATTACATGGACCACCATTTTGAGAATAAACTGCAACACGTTTCAGAATTATTTACAAGTATAATCTATAATGCGGTTCATGATGCGTAATATAATATCATTTTATAATTGGATGACAGTTTTATAAGAAGTCGCCGATACATTTTTATATGAAAACGGTATATATCTCTTCCTCGTAATTGCCCATATATTTTTTTTATATTGTACGGTACAATTCACTAAAATATATCTCTTCCTCGTAATTGCCCATATTTTTTTTTATATTGTACGGTACAATACACTAAAGGTGACGTGTACCAGTAATCTAGAAATATTTAATGATTTTGTTATTAAATGATGATGAATTTTAATTTGAAGTTTTGTTTGGAAAAATTTTGTTATAATTTATTATTAGTGATGATGAATTTTAATTTGAAGTTTTGATTGGAAGAATTTTGTTATAATTTATTATTACTGCGTTGAAATGTTAAATTTGTTGGAATTTATTGGTTTATGTGTGTGGACCTACTGACATTGCATCAATGGCAGTGACCTTAATGTGTGTTAGGACCCAAAAAATTGAAGCAATCCTTCAAACACGTTCAGTAGGAACATTTTATTAAACTGTTTAAGGAAAATTATGCAGGGTGTTTGGGGTACAATATAAGACGCACAAAATGATGATAAATGAGACATTTTGTAATCGTTAACTTCTATGGACTAGATTTGCTCTAAGCCAAAAAAGAAATTGGACTCTTGTCCTGATCAGTTTCAGCGATAAAATTAAGAATTGTAGGATGTTGTGTTTATAAAATATGTATGTACTTTCAACGATCGGTAAATTAAACATTGCTTGGGAAGTTAATATTGGAATAATCATGTTGAAATATGCTAGTTTTCTGTTTATCGTAAAAATAATAGCATTTAATTGTTCCATTCAGGAGGCGAGTTTATTGCATTGATCAGATGTGTTTAAAACTTTAGATTAAACCTTCATGTTTCGTTTGTCCTGCAAATTATTTTTTATGTTTTTGTCAGCAGAATACGAATTTTTTAAGAAAACCTTGGGATTTTAATCTGAGAAGTTGTGAACATTGGTTTTAGGAAGTATGATGGCTTTAATATCGAAAATCTCGAGGATAACATTTTATACAAACAACTGAACACGTGCATAGATCCAGGAATACCATCCAACAGGAAGACTTTGCTTAACGTTTTAAGGCGTTCTTATCATTGGTATAGGTCACCATTGCTTTATTACAGTTCTCACTACGGGGTATATTAGCCTGTTTCGTCAATCTTATGCCACAAATAGATTTTCTGTTAGATATTTGACTATATTGTTATGAATTCCACCACGCCCCGAATGCAGAGTTGAGACCAAGGTCAGTTTTGTTTCTTAAGGACAATGTTACCATGAGACTCGGAGAAAAATCATTTCGGCACATGCGAAAAGTTATTTATTATTGCAGTGGTCAAAGCTTCAGTTAAAAGTTTGTTATGCTTTTTGAAAGGCCTGCAACTGTCCTCCCGCTAGTCTAAAAATAAATTAATATGCCCTTTGCAGCTGTAACACCACAGACTCCTCATTGAGAAGGTAATATTCTGATCAGATGGTCAATAAATTGTCTGTCGTCTATGGAACTCTTAAGTTCCGTTAACGTACTCACAACGGCCTGTCATTGCTCCATATTAATCCATTTATCGCAAGTGTGCCCTTCCGGTTTTCCGTCTAAGTCAACATCCTTTTGTTACGTCCTATTTTTATTGCGTATTTACGACGTTTGTATCTCGAAAGGAACGATGTTGAAGGGAGAGAAATGTCGGTTAAGACATCGATATTACTTGTTATTTGCGCCCACAATTCTCGGTACAGTGAAACAGAGAACTCGTGGACCAGGGGCCATAGTTGCTTGCCTCAGCGATCTACTCATTAAGCAAGAGTATTTAACCGTTTTAAGCCCACTGGGAGCTATGTTTACCACCTGATTCAGCGATCAGTAAATCTACATTTTGTACTAATGGACTTCGTATGATTCATTCTCGAAAGTAACAACAAATATTTACTTCAACAGCGTTAACCATTTGATATTTGTAATGATGAAGGACTTCATTTGTTCTTTCCTGAGGCACGTCCCTTCTGAAGCCCCTCAAAAGTTCGCGAATCCCCTTACGACGCAAAAGGTAGACGGCTTTATTGATTTTGCAGCAAATTCATTTAATGCAGAATTCAGGAATAGTTCACTATCTGTGAACGTAACCCACAACAAAAGGTTTACCTCGTACTTTTTGTAATGCATAAATTTAAACGTATCCTTAAGGTCGTATCATGAATATTCATTTTAGAATTTGCACTTCTTCGCTATTTCGAGGTTATTTTGTTTGACGTTGAGGCCGTCTTAACCCCTAATAAAAATAGTATGTACTTGGCCAACCAATGTGGACTAGTCATGGGAGATAAACCATGAAAATGTTACCCAGAAGATTTGAAAAGTAGCGCGCGGCTGCTTATGGTGGAAAATTATGTCCGTAAGTGTTGATAATTCTGATAAGTAACTCCCTGTAGCTTACTCTTTAATAAACCGGTAGTTGTTCAACTGCTCAAGAAATGTCACGTCTTTTATGGAACTTGAAGGCTTATTATCCTGATTTTAAGCTATTTGAATCCATTCCACTTCCTCGAATAATTTGTAATAATACGTTATTCACCCGTTTGTACGTAGATCTCTCAGATGGTATTTTGTAACTATTTCACATCTGCATACGTGTTACATCTTATCCTCCTTAATTTGATCGCCGTAATAAAAATAATTATTTAGCTAAGCCCCTGTTTGCACCGACTGGTCGAAACCGCTTGCAAGAGCGTTGAAGGTTGAATAACTTTCTGATATCAACACTTCAGCGTATTGGTTGCTTCGTCAGTGCAAATCGTAGATAATGCAGAGAGCGTTGTTTGGTGACTCATAATAAGTGCCTCAGAATCGCTGGACAAAAGTTCAGTCATAAAACCTTCCACCCAAACTGCACCTAAACATATTTGCTCTACAGATGAAATGACTGTCCTCTGAATGTTGCGCTGTGTAGTTTACCGGCTTTCAAAGGTACCTGCTGCTTTTATCATCAGGACGACACTCAACAAGCTTATAGGCTGTAAATGTCAACGAGAAAAAAGAGACCGTGTACTAGACCTACAGTTGTTCATATAAATGCCCGTTATGTGTTGAACATTTATGTGATGTTTATTGGTGCGACCGAATAAGAAAGGTACAGAGTTAGGACAGTGTTCCGAAAATTTGTTCACCGACACACACTAACTTGTCAAACATACGTGAGGTCACACCACTAAGTTTCGCTACACGAAAACAGAGTACGAAAGTTTTTTTTTTAGTGTTCTGTCTGACGACAGGTCCATATGACCAGGATCCTTCCATCCTTTTCTCGGACTGGGATCTGTTCATATACGTTCTTGGCAGATGATCCAGAGGTGGTTTGCCATTGCCTTCTTCTGTGTGTGAATGGGGTAATTGTTGGGATGCCACGGAGAAACCGGGGAAGCCCCCGGAGGAAAACTCCGTGTTGCCTAGACCACGGCCTTGCCCAACACAAGTTATAAATTCGGGCACCGCCGGGAATCGAACCCGAGGCCCCAGGATTACAAGGCCAGCGTTCTAACCGCTAAAATTTAATTAGCCGTTAAGTCTTACGTGCACGGATGCACGATTTAAGTATTCTCTTCGGAGGAATGCAGATGCGCCTAAATATATGCTACGATTATGTAGAGTGGATTCATGTGGCCTCGAATGGACTCCATTGGCGGGCTCTTGTGAGTATAGTGTGAACCTTGAGAATCATAACGAGCAGAGATAAATGCATGCAATATTTAATTGGAAAACCTGAAAATAAATAGACGCCTGGGCGTAGATGGGATGATTAAAGTTTATTAAGATGGATGATGTTGGTTGGATTCGTCTGGCTAAAGGGTAGGGTCCGACGGCGACTTGTAATCTCGGTAAAGAACATTTTCAGTTACGTGTTGTAAAATTTCTTGATTAACTGAACTACTATCAGCTTCTCAACAAGGTCTCTGCTCAGTGGCCTCTGCAGTTGAAACAACGTCGTCAAACTTTTAAAGCCCTAAATGTATTTTCAGTTTTGTCAGTAAGTAAATCTGAGTTATGGGTTTTGTATGATTCTCAATTTAAACTGATTATTTCCTTGAAGACCATTAACCATTTGGTCGTTAAGCGTAGTGTTTTCTTTGTGGTATAGATAGACGAGTTTGGGCTTTAAGGGGTTAAACATTCTCTCTCCTTCAGTGCAGACCGCGCCATGTTGTCACGTGATATAAATTCAGAAGCCTGAACAAGTCGATGACACGAGATTTGTTCTGTAGCCTAAATATGTTGAACGACTGTCTGAAGTTGAGGTGAAAGTGAGAACTGTGACGTCATATATATTCTCTTCTGCAAACGAAAAGCTACGTAACAGCCCGAGAAACTAACATGGCAACGTATTCCTGAGAAGGCCTTTGACTTATTTGTGAAGTATTGCTAATGACAAGCCACGTGGTCAGATGTAAATTAACCGCGTCGAATTAATATTTAAGTATTCAGTCCTTACCTTAAAGAAAACACAACTCTTTATCATTGCAAATACCACCACTGGTTCTGGAAATGTTAATTTCTTATCCTGTGACAGCGTAGGGACGTGCTACCCGATTGGATGAAATTCAAAAATACCTTAACATCTGGTTAACGGATGCAGCTTGCAAAGAGGGACGTTGCCCCAAAATGGCGTTTCTTTGCATTATAGGTGTGTAGTTAACTACCTAGCCACGGCGGTCCAGCGGTTAGAACGCTGACCTTGTAATCCTGGGGTCTCGGGTTCGATTCCCGGCGGTGCCCGAATTTATAACTTGTGTTGGGCAAGGCCGTGGTCTAGGCAACACGGAGTTTTCCTCCGTGGCATCCCAACAATTACTCCATTCACACACAGAAGAAGGCAATGGCAAACCACTTCTGGATCATCTGCCAAGAACGTATATGAACAGGTCCCAGTCCGAGAAAAGGATC